TTTCCCCATTCATGTGTATTGGGCCTTTACTTTCAGATATTCAAGATGGCATTACTCCTATCTAAAATAAACATTCAGGATGTCTAAAAATGCTAAATGTTTGGTGGATGTTTGCCATTATGATGTTAAACTGCTAAATCCTGTGTTTTCGGTGAATTCAAATATTATTTGTGTTTTATTTGAAGCTTATCCAAACCCTCTTTATCTTAATATAGTTTTGCATTGCAGTTAAAGTAGAAGAAAATTGCAGGTGTTCATTTAATTTAATTCATTTGCCAAATTAGGTCCTGATGGGAAATAATATTAGTGTCAGTTTAAAACTCCACACTTTGAATAAAATAAAAATAAAAAATACGTCATCTTCAACTTTTAATATATTTTTACACTTAAGGGAATTAATCATGTCTGATCTTTAATATATGGAAAACCAGTCCATTGCATTGACTCAAATGCAATCCCTCACACTAAGCATGCTAGTAGTGACAGTGGAGAGGAACAACGCTCTTTTAAAAGGAGGAAACCTCCAGCAGAACCAGGCTCAGTGTGAGCGGCCATCTGCTTAGACCGTCTGGGGTTCAAGGAGACAGAAGCAGAGATACAAAAGGTGACTGTAAAAGGCGTCCCCGCCCAGGAAACACACAGCCAGGCAGACGAGCTCTGAGCCAGCTCCCATGCTAGAGAACGAAGAGAGCAGATCCAGCCAGTCACAGTCAGAGAAACAGGACTACACCACCATCTATAAACAAGGGTGTTGATGGCAGCAGCACAGCTGATATTTCTCTCCAGGATGTTGTCACAGACAAACAGGAACAGAAGAGGCCAAGCTACTATGTACTACATTTAGCTTCCTGTATTGCATTTAATTTTATTGCACATTTTGTTTTCTGATTTAGTTCTCATTTTTTGACAATCTTCTGCACATTGTTTAAATCCTACTATTCTGTCTAAAGCAACCATTTTGGTGAGGTATAGTTTAAATGAGGAAAGATCAGATTATCAGACTGAATAAGCCTGGAGCAGAATATGGAGAGGGAGGCTTCATATGACACAGATGAGAAATCTGATCTATTCAAACTAGTATAGTATGTGGTCACACAAGAAGCATTGAATAATTAATGCCGTTATCAGCAGTTACACGCTCTTAAAGCGGGTGATTGGTTGCTCTCCATTTTAAGCAGAAATCAGAATCAGAAGTACTTTAAAAATCCCAGAGGGAAATTACTTAAAGCGAGATGTTTTGCTATAAATGAGGATGTTTTTGGATATGAGAAAGATTCAGAGAGGAAAATCTAGGGCTCCTTTTCCATTAAATGCCCATTTAAAGCCCTGGGATGTTTGCTATATTGGTTATAAGAACCCCAGGGAGTTCCTCTGTGCGCTTTCCCCATTTCTCTGAAAGCCTGACAAAAACTGCAGTACCCTATCAATCCAGTAGGTGGAGGTAATTAGAGCACACAACTTTTTTTTTTTTACCTTCAGTACCATGATTAATCATAAGATTTACTACCTTTAAAAGAGCATGTTTTTTTGTTGATTTTTTCCATTAGACATATTTTGGTTCATGACCAGCTTTAGACTTATCCAGTTGATTCCCTCCAACCATAAAAAGCATAGCCCTTGACAATAAAAGTTTAAATAATGATTTTTTGTCAGTGTTCATTTGGCTTGATTTGTGGCTTTATAGCTGCATGATTCTTATACTGTTAAATATTGTTTTTAGTCGAAGGAGACCCACCAGCTTGTACAGGGAATTGATACCTTGACTTTATAATTATGAGTTGATATTTATATTTGCCTAAGCAGCTGTAGGATAGGACTTCAATTGGATCTCAACAAGCTGGTAGACAGCATTCAACTCGCAACTTTTAATCTTGCAGCGCTGTCCACATAGAACTATGAAAAAATACAGCTGGTAAAGTAAGTATTAAAAACGTCACCCTGTTTCTCAGTAAATATATTTCTACAGGTGCTATTGACATGACATTTTCACCAGATGTTGGTAAAAATCCAAATATATATAAATGTATATACTAAACACCAGTTTAAGCATAAAACGTTCGGGACCCTGAGGCCTCAGCCTCTTACTGCTTCCCAATGGTCTTTACACAAGTCCCTCATGGTTCCACTTGCAAGTGGTGGACCCACTGGGGAATGGCTTTGCAGTTTGAAACGATTTGCAGTTCTTTAATCTCCACATGAACAAAAACTACACTTCATGATTATTCCAGATGTAATCTTGTGACACCCCTGAAGTTTTTGACCCACCTAATATGAGCTGATTATGCAAATTGCATTGTCACTTAAACTGCCCAACAGTAGGAAGATTAAGAAGTCTAAAAAACAACAAATAGGCATTCAAATTATCATAGTCATAACTTTTGTTTGCATTTGTGTCAGCTTACAACTGCTGCCCTGATCAGCACAATCCAATCAGGTAAAGTTAACCTGCTAATATATTAATGATTTAGCTCTTGTAGTGAAACATCTTATGGAAATAAATGCTCCCATCAGTTGGACGCACATGTTCTCAGCCTCCTATTATAGAAAAAAGTTTTGAGTAATTCTGTCTTATAAAAGTCAGAAACCCTGATGTGCTACTTTCTGATATTCCAGTATAAAAATAATATTATCGCCTTTAGGTTCAGGAAGTCAGATTCCAGAATTGGTTATTTCTTACAAACATCTCGCCTAAAAATGTCCTCTGTATTTTTAAGGCAGACTTGGAGGAGGGCCTCTTTTATAGAAGTTTGCCTTGTGCCCCAAAGTGGATAAAATCAACAGAGGAAACACCAAGCAATCCTGTATTCAGCATTTAAAAGCAGTTGTTAAACCTTTATTAATTAACATTGTATTTTGATGATTGTTCCTGTTTTGTACTTCATTAAAAATAACTTTATGTTAGATGTTGTTATTAATAAAATTTTAACTAAAGGGAAACAAATTTTAGCTGAAACTGGGCACTAAATCAGAATGATCCTGTTTCCCTTTGGTTTAAGCTTTAAAGTGAACCTCAACAAACAAACATGGATCCAGTACTGAGGTTCAACTTCTTCCACATTAACCTGTTCTTATATTAAACCTTTTTAATTTAGACCTGTCTGTGTTCAGTGGTTGAATCAAATGATAATTTATCAATGTTAGTATTTGAAGTTTAGTGTTAATCAGTCTGTATCTGTTGGTGTTTTCAGTGTTGATGAGATTATCTGCAGCTGAAGAAGTAAAGAAGAACCTGATTGGAATCATTGGTGGAAACCTCACTTTCCCAGATCCTCTGCTGGAGTTGGGATTTCTTTTAAAAGGAATAAGAAACATTGCTTTGATAAATTATGGAAAACTTCAGATTTTTGAGGAGATTTACATGAACAAACTTTACTGGAGCAAAACCTCTGGACTCCTTATGATCACAGACCTGCAGAGGAGCGACTCAGGAATTTATACCATTGACTCTAAAAAAGGAAAAGTTTTCTATACTTTCTACAATCTCACAGTTTATGGTACGTCATAACAACGCAGTACTAATCAGGGCAAGCTGTAGACTTCACTAATGTAAAACTCTTTATATAAGATCCCATCAATGTAAGTCTTAACTTACAAAAAAATATTTGTAAGTTAAGACTATTTAGCCTAAAATGTTATTAGTTCACTGTGAAAGTTCGCCAACCTCTGAACATCGGTGCAGTTGGTGTGACTTCTTGTTACTAGTTAATAATAATAATGATACATTTTATTTAACAGCGCCTTTCTTGACACTCAAGGTCACTTTACAAATAATACAAAAAAATAAATAAAAAGAGATGAAAATACAAAATACAGATACAGGAACATAAAAACAAAAAATAAACAATCATTGATAGGGAAAAGAGCAGTATATTCACAGATAACCAAGCTGGAACAGATGGGTTCTGAGTCTGGCTTTGAATAAGGGGAGAGAGTCAATACTGCGGAGGTCGGGAGGAAGTGAGTTCCAGAGCTGGGGAGCAGAGCGGCTGAAGGCTCTGCTCCCCATGGTGACAAGTCGAGCTGGGGGTACAGTGAGGTGGATGGAGGAGGAGGATCTAAGGGAGCGGGAGGAGGTGGCAATGTGAAGGAGGTCTGGCAGATATGGAGGAGCAAGGTTATGGATGGCTTTGAAAGTATAGAGAAGGATTTTGAATTGAATTCTGAATTGAACTGGGAGCCAATGGAGTTGGTGAAGAACAGGGAAAATATGATGGAAGGAGGGGGTTCTGGTGATGACACGAGCAGCAGAGTTCTGAAGAAGTTGAAGTTTATGGAGAGATTTATGAGGGAGGCCAAAAAGAAGAGAATTGCAATAATCAAGACGGGAGGTGATGAGGCTGTGGATAAGGAAAGAGGTAAGGACTCATACGAGTGGTGAGGGAGGAACGGAGGCGGTTAATGTTGCGAAGGTGGGAGTATGCAGACCTGGTAATTTTATTTATGTGAGACTGAAAGGAGAGGGAGGAGTTGAGGATGACACCCAGACTCTTGACCTGAGGGGAGGGGGAGACTAAGGAGTTGTCAATGGGTAGTGAGAAACTTTTGATTTTTGATAGGGTGGATTTAGTGGCAACGAGGAGTTGCCTTAACTCTAAATAAAAGAATGTTTACTTTAAATTCTAAGTATTATGAATTGTCCATTACTTCACAAATGTAGGTGATAATCATGGTGTTGCTAAACTAGTAAAGTTATCTAATGTTGTGGTTCTTATTATTTAATATATTGGAGTAATGTAATTTCTTAATAATTACACATTTGGGGGTTTTAGGGGGGGGGGTTCATCCTTAATCACAGAAAGTCCTTATTATTATGCCTAAATTCCTGATCTCCATGTATTTATTGCAGATCCTCCTCCAAGCCCTGCAGTACGATTCCTGACTGTGAGCTCTGAGATCTGCTGGTTGCTCTGTTCTGTGGACAATCCAACGTCGCTGCTGTGGTACAAAGACGAGGAGATACTGAACCAGAGCAGTTCTGCTGTCTCTTTACCCATCACTGTCTACAGAAATGACAGAGACTCATCATATAGATGTGTAGCAGCCAACCCTGCAGGAAACAAGACATTTCACCTAGATGTGAGGACATCCTGTGGGTTCAATGAGACAGAAAGTTCTGATCATGAAAGATACCGTAAGCTTTGTTATAAAATAAATTAAAAAAACATAGAAATAGGGCTGCACAATATCAGCACGGCATGCAATTTTGATGTTTTGGCTTAGTATTTTAATATGGTACTGATTAAGATTTTCTTTTTTTATCTGTATCATCACAATGAGCACAAAACTCACCTTGTTTTATCATCTCTGCTACCAAAACTAAACATCAGGTCTGGATATGGAGGCAGCTGCATTCCACCCAGCTTCTCCTTTATTGTTGTTATTAATTATAGTTTCCAAACTAAAAGCTGCACCTCAGCATTTCACACGCATTGGGATTTCATTGCAATTCAATTTGTTGTGCAGCTTTAATTAAAACAATATTTTGTGTATTTTAAAAACTTTTATTGGATCATAATGTGTTGTGTTGTTTTACTAGACTGGACTGTAATACCAGTTGTCATTGGGGTTCTTCTCTGTGCTGTTCTGCTCATCTACCTGCTCAAATGGAAGCTTCCAGAGACAAAGACAACCAGACAAATACAAGGCAAGTAATTTTTTTTCTTTTGACCCCGATTGATAGATTTTCACCCTTAACAAATGAAGGCCTCCGTCTAGAGTCCAGTGAGGTGAGATAAATACCTTACTGCTTTTTGTAGATATGAGATTGTTTTACTTTGACATGGACTCATGCCAAAAGAACTAAAGGTGGGGCCCCTGCTGGTTTGGGGCCCCTGCTGGTTTGAGGCTTCAGGCGGTTGCGTACTTTGCCTGTATGGTAAGTCCATCTGTCATGTGGCTAAGCAGCAGACGATTTTGTGCTGTCCAAATAGAGTTTGGTGTCATCATAAAAGTTTTAAAATCTTATTTATTTAAATTAATCTGCCAACTAAACCTCAGCCTTTCAGTTCATTCATGGATATGAAATATGAAAACATTTCCAACATGTTTAAAAGTTGCCACTTCGGTCATATTTCCGTCCATTTTTTCAACTTACTGTAATGCAAGAACAGCGGATACAATTTTAGGTAGACGTGTGCTTTTTATTCAACTTGCTTGAGGAAAATATAGGAAAATTGGATAAGAAGTGTTATTTATTAATTGTTTCCATATCCGTTTTTGTGCACACAATCAGATAACAGTTCATCTGTTGTTTTCATTGTGGTCTTGGAAACAAATTCTGAGAAAACCAAAAGTTTTTGGAGTTTTATTTTTTTTTATTTGATACACTGATTAAACCAGATTCAGGCCGGGTCAAACCAGTTGTGTGATACGTTTTTTTCTCATGTCACATTGACTGCGTGACCATGCAGGGTGAGCAGATCTTGATAAATGTAGATTTTTTTTTTACTTCTCTCTGTGCCACACAAATTTAAACACTGTCCCACACACTATGACCAGAATGCTGCACAGCATCTCTTACACCTGAACAGATAGAGGATTTTAATAGGCTTATATTAAAGATATAATGGGAACTATATTTAAAGAGAAGAAAAATAGAGCAATAAGGGCTGGGGGACAGTTTATAGGTACTGGAAGAGGCATTGAGAGGGGATTCTCAGAGATCTTAAAATTGTCTAACTAAAAAAAAACACAACAATTAGCATGCTACAATGTAAAATAAAAATATAAAAAGAACTAAAAACAGCTATAACTCCTCAAAACAGATTTGTTCCAAGTTTTTTTTTTTTCATAATAAGGAGAGTGAGACAGGCAGCGCTTACCTGCACTGTCTGCCCCTCATTCTTTTTTTTTTTTTTGTGAGACTCAAAAAGGATTGCTATTTTATATCTATTTTCTGTCCTCAAGTTTTTTGAAGATTTTTTGTGGAGTGATAAGCTGTGCTTTCTACTGCCCCTGTGATTTTTGCAAGTTATTTTCACTACTTTGTCAGTTTTCTGCCCTCCTGATCTCCTATCATGCATAAAGTTTTAGAGTATTAAATGTTTCAGTGATTGGTTATGCCCAGATTGCCCTGCCTGCTAACATGCGTCCTGTCTCCAAACCTGTTCTCCCGTGCAACGGACAGATTTCATTTTGTATTTCCTCTCAAAGCAAATGTGTTTTACTTTGTAACCGTGTGTCCGGTGTGTTCATCCCCATTGACTTTCAATGAGCACTAAGCCCCACAATCTCTAAGGCAGTTGTTATGGGCGCTGTAAGGGGGAAAGAGTTTCTAAGGGCCCTTGACTGAGGGCGGCCCAAACGAAGATAAAGGATATGTCACGCTACATATTTCAAATGTAAAAAGACAATTCGGCAATAAAATTTATCTTTGTGTTCTCCCCGATTTTTCAGCTGTAAAGAGCGAAACAAAGCATGAATATATTAACCAACCCACTCTCCATTTACTGTACATCATTAATGATGCCGGTACTTGTGTCTGTCCTAAACAGAAAATGTTGCATTTTTGTTTTGTTTTGTTATTTGTTTTTTTTTATTGTTCGAGAAAGATTAAACCAGGATGAAGCCAGCATTTAATGAGCCTATTGTATGTCTGTAATTAACACAGAGGGAAAAAAAACTGAGCCAGAAAGCTCACAAAGTTGAGAATGTGCATTTTCAGACCAGGCAGTGGAAAACACCATAGTCCTCAGAGGTTTAACATCATTTGAATAATATTGTGTTTAGCAGGATATTCGTACTAAACAACTGTCTTTGTCCCTCCTTCATGTAAATAGATCTACCAGCAGCAACCCTGTCTCTACAAACACCCGCTCCCTGTCCCAGTGAAGAAGGTGAGCTACATTGTGTTCAGGGACAGACTAGTTTGCATCATTACAGAGTCCTTTAGATTTTCTCTCTTTTTACCATTTCCAAACTTAAAATTAAACTTTTAATATATAAAAATGGAAAACATTACATTTTTCTAGATCATGATCAGTATAAAATAAAAACAACCTGTACTTGTAGTAGATCCTGGACAGTTGAAGGTAAACATTGAATAACCTCCAGCAGCCTGTAGTAAAATTACTGTCAGTATTTAAATAGTTAGATTTTTATACTTGGTTTTAATTACAGCAATTAAAAGAGACCAATGTCTGTTCCTAGTGACACCCCTGCAGTGGTTCCCAACCTTTTTTGACCTGTGTTCATCCTAGGCCATTTTATCATACCCTGAGCACACCCTTGGTCAGACATTTTGATTTTTTTCAAAAAATAGA